TCAAGAGGAGAATGGAGAAGGAATTGCGGCATGGCCATCCCCCCTGGGGGGTGATTTCTCGCTTTCTGTCTCTCTCTGTCTTTCTGGCAAGTGCACATGCCTTATAGCAAAAAAAAAAAAAACCTCTCCAAAAAAAATAGTTGTTCTGCAACATGTGCTTCAGAACAAAAGACATATAAACACAAACACACATACACAAATAATAAGAACTGTACAAACTGGTACACTGGCACACCTATACATTCAGACAGGCATATACACAGGCATATTCAAACCCATGCACATACACACATTTAAGATGTGCATGAACACATGGCTGTGTGTGTGTGTATATATATGTATAGATATATATGTATATATGTGTGTGTGTATATATATATATATATATATACACATATTCACTCAAACATGGGCATATAGTCAGATGTTGACACATACTGGTATATACACTCATAGAATACACTCACATAATATACTCATAGTCACTAACGGGCATATTCAAACATACATTCTTATTCACACTCAGAAATTCAAACAAAACACATAATAACACATACACACCCAAGTATTAGGAAATGTAGTTATGCATACCACCATCAGACATGCACTCACACATAATAGTTTACACACACTTATATACACATACATGATTAAAACACATATACAGGGACCAGCAGTTAGCATAATGGCTATGTCGCTGGACTCCCATGTAGTCGACCACGGTTTGAGTCCCAGACCCGGCGGCTTAAACTCACACTGGGCACCTGGGCATGCGTGCCCAAGATCCCGAAAGGAGAATGGAGGAGAAGGGATTGCAGTGTGGCCATCCCCCGGAGGGGTGATTTCTCACTTTCTGTCTCTGTCTCTCTTTCTGGCGAGCGCACACGCACACGCCATGTAGCAAATCCTCTCCAAAATAAAAATTAAAAAACACATATACAAATGTATCCATTCACCTAAGTACATACACTGTGTGTGTATGTGTGTGTATTTTGTGTATGCATGTATATATATATATATATGTATGTATGTATGTATATATATATACACACACACACACACGGAGCCATGTCCATAATCAAATGTGCACACATATGCACAAAATATATGTTCATTTACACATTCTCCCCTCTATGTACTTAGTCCTCTTTATACTAGTGTGCCCATCTACACTAACATTTTCTAACAAGATGTGGACACATAGGTTTGTCTATAGACAACATGTACTCAAACATGCACACACAGACATATACATAATTTAAAACACTTGGCAGTCCATACAGACATTCACACAGAGGCCTACTCACACAAATATATGACAGACACACTCAACATAGAAGCATGTTCACACACATATACCCTCCCATATGTTCATAGACTTGCACACATAAATGTCCTTACACTCATATAAACATCATTTATATGTACCTACACTCATATGCACATGTAGGAATTACAAATATACACAATCAGATACAACTAGACATTTACCTAATTGGACACACACCCAGACACATACAACCACACATGTACACTCAAAGACAAATTGATACCACATACATACAAATTGATACCACATACAACTAGACATTCAACAGGCCTACTGGCTCAGAGAAACACACCCATACTCAGGCCCAGGATTAAACATTCCCTTTGCTCACCCAGACAGACATGCAAAGTCATACCCACCCCCTTATACACCCACAAGCCTACCCAGACACTCACACTCTCACACATGCCATCACATGGCCTGCTCACACATATACATAGTGCCCATAAATAGACATGCACACATAAACTGCACACATAGCCACACATTTCCAGTTATACACACACACACACACTCAGACCCACATGCCTCCAGATCACATACAAAGTCTACTCTCTTCCACACCTAATACTTCTTCAGAAAAGTCTACTCCACAAATCAAAGCCCCACCCGTCCCTGTCCCCACGGAGGCGTCTTCAGGGCCTCTGTCTTTCCCATTCTCTCCTCCTGACGATGTCTCACTCCATGTTCTACCATATCTCTGGCCGGCAGACCCACTCTCCCCCTCCCAGGTTCTAGCTGAGTAACTCCCTGGGACCCATTCCCTACTGATCTGGATATTGCATGGGCCACACCCCAGTTCTCCCCAAAGCCCTGCAACCTCAGAAGCTTCAGCTTTGTTTCCAGGCCTTGCCAACCGTTGACCACAAGCCAAACTCTTGCCAAGTCTCCCCTCAACAGGGAGACACATACATCACCAGAGCCAGCAATGTTGCAGGCTGTAAGTCAGGCCTCTGCTGGCTCATACGGGCTCTAGCTTCTCTGTGTGCATGTGTGTGTATATATATATATATATTTGTGTATGCACACACAAACAGGGGCAAGTGTATGGAAAAATATGTTGAAGTAGAGTGGGGATGGGAGGCTCTGTCCACAACCACCACTTTTCACTCATTACAAATGAGAAGTAACAACACAGAGAGACATGCTCCTGCCTCCCCTCCACTCCACTCCCCCATTTGCCCACCTGCTGCCCTCCCCAGAGGTCTTCTGAGATGCTGGAGATCAGAGGCCAGTCCCTCCTCCAAATAATCAATAATAATATCAATCATGAAAAACTGGCAACAGGGAACCAGCAGTTAGCGTAATGGCTATGTCGCTGGACTCCCATGTAGTTGACCGCGGTTCAAGTCCCGGACCCGGTGGCTTAGAACTCACGCTGGGCGCGTGTGCATGCGTGCCCAAGATCCCGAGAGGAGAATGGAGGAGAAGGGATTGTGGCATGACTATCCCCCCTGGGGGGTGATTTCTCACTTTCTGTCTCTCTGTCTCTCTGTCTGTCTGGCGAGCGCACATGCCCTATAGCGAAAACCTCTCCAAAAAAAAAAAAAAGAAAAAGAAAAAGAAAAACTGGCAACAATATTGACCATGAGCTTTGCTGACATTGCCTCAGTACTATCTCTAAGCACATTCTTTACTTACATGCACCAACTCATTTAATCCCTACACTCACCCATGAAGAAAGGATTACCAGTCTCTTTGACAGAAGGGAAAACAGGTTCAGTAAGTGTCATGCTTCCACTAAAGTTGCAGAGCTAGGAGTTAGGGGAAGTGTCCCTGGTAGAATCCATGTTCTCTATGTACCAGGTTTTCCTGCCCCTCCAGACATAGGAATCTCTGGCTATTGTGCACAAGGCCATAGACCTGGGGTTCCCATACATGACAGGAGCATCTGAAACCAAGATTCAGGGCCTTTCAATGGAGGCTGGGGCCCATGCTGCGGGGACAACTATGTTGTGCCTGGCCCCTGCAGGCTGTCATGAAGTTTGGCCCTTGCTCCCACCAAGCCATTGTAGCCCAGGGCCTGGAAGTGCTCCCCACCTCCACTCACCTTCCTTTAGCTATACAGTGGCTTCCTCCCCCTAGCTGTAAATCACAGTAATATCTTCAGTGGTGAGTGAGCAAAAGTCTGTGCTACCTGTGGGGAGTCACCAGATAAGGTAGAAGGAAGGGAGGAATTGAGGGAGGTCTGGGCTGGGAGCAGCTTCTCTATCATGTCTACTCACCTGCTTGTTACCCAGGTGTGCACACACACACACACGAGCACACACACACACACACAAGCACACACACACACACACACACACACCCTGCAAGCAGGCCAAAGAACCTGGAGGAGAATGGAGGAGGAAGGAGAAGGAGGAGGCAGCTGCAGAAAGCTGAGCCTGCCCAGGGTGCAGGCAGTGTGAAAAGAACACTGCTGGCTCCCAGGCATCCTTTCCATGGCTAGCATACAGGGAAATGTTAACTCAGTCGTGTGCCCAAACGCCACCATAATGATAAAAACCGAACCT